TATTATTATTTTTTAAGTAATATGAGTACGAAAGATTTAAAAAATATTATTATTTTTTAGTTGCCGTAAAAGATTTTTGTATGCATACAATTACACTCTATATGCAGATTTATCAATTTTACAATAAAATGATATTTATTTTATATCCAACTGAGATTAAAACATAATTGTTACCTCAAAAGAAATTTTGTACGCGCATTACAACTCCACACAAAATGCATATTTATATCCACATTCAATTTTACAAATGCAAATCGAGAGATTAATGCAAGCTGGAACAAATAAACTTGGACTTTATATTTAACTGAGAAGAAGACAAAAATTGAAGACGATATTTAATTCTGCATTGTTTCTATTAACTTTTTATCGTATTTATATTTCTATTAACTTTGTACTGTATGTATTGAATATTTTTTGGGTAGAAATATATGATAAATCTTATTTTATTATATATAATATATATATATATATATATTAAAAACATCTAAAATATTATATCACATATATAGTGTATGTTTGGTAAACCAAATAAGCTAGCTTATAGCTTATTTGATTAGCTTATAAGCTTCTTGTATTTAAATAGCCCCGTTTGATAGGACGAGCTTATTTAAAAAGCTCGAGCTTATTTGATAAGCTTATTTAGGTAGCTTTTCAAATAAGCTAGTTCAATTTTTTATTCCAGCTAGCTTATCAGCTCATTTTACCAAGCACTTTTAGCATATATGCTAGCTTTTCAGTTATAAGTCATAAGCTATAAGTTATAAGCTCAAAAATTACATATAAGCTATAAGCTAGCTTATCAGCTAATTTTACCAAACATAGCCATAATGTATCTAAAATATTCTATAATATTCTTGAAATATGTTTGAAGGCATCTAAATTTTTTTTTCTAAAATATCATGTAGAGAAAACATGTATAAAAATATTTAAGTTTAACCTCCATATATGTACATGTGTCCTCCATATATACTTAATCATTGTCTAAATAATGTTTAAAATATTTAAAATATTATATAAGTTAATAATATTAATAATTAGATAGGTGAAGCTTTTAAAAACAATACATAAAGAATTTGCATTGCTAATGAGATGTTGAATTTGAAAATTTACATAATCCAGAGGAAGTTTAAATGTAATAAGTTTTTTTCGTGTACAATTTAAATGTATAAGATTTCTTTGTTGTACACGTGCATAATAAAAATCTATATTTATAGTTTAGATCTTTTGTTGTTTTACAGAAACAAATTCCTTAATTAAAGAAATCATGTATCTTCCAGCAGTCCACGCACACA